GAGGCGAGGAGCCAGCTCCAGGCGCTGGTGTTTGGCATGGCGGGGCGCATCGAGAGCCTGGAGAGACGCCTGGAAGGTTCGTGGGGGTCTGGGAGGGGGTAAAGGCAGGAGGAGGGAGGGCTGCTCCCTGCCACCGTGTCATCCCCCGGGCAGGGGTGCCCCAGCTCAGCCAGCAGCAGGAGAAGGCTCTGCCTCCCTAGACTCAGCCCGAGGGGCTCCTCTCTGATCCCGGGTGGACTGGCCAGGGGGGGTGGGAAGCAGATGTGCTGCCACCTTTGTCCTGGTTGGACTGGCTAGTTCCCAAAGGTGCCCAAGGCCTTCACATGACCACCTGGCTGAGAACAGGTCCTGCATGGGACCAGAGGATGCAGTGATGTGTCTCTGTGCAGAAGCACAGCCTTGTCCCCATGGCCAGCACCATGCCATCATCTCTGTGTGGGAGTCACTTTACAGAGGTCTCTCTTTTAGGAGTCTAGAAAAATCCTGGGGCAGTAACAGTCTGGCTGGGAGAACTGAGAGTTGAGCTGTGTAGGGGAGGGAGTTTGCTGGGGAGGCCCGGGGTGCCACATGCCACATTGGAGTTCATTGTCACAGTCTGGCTTTTGTTCCTCTCTCCGTAGTGGTTGAGACACTGGCATCTTCCTGCAGCCCTGAGAAGAACACAGCCCAGAGCCAGCAGCTCTTCCTTCCAGGTAGGCAATTGCCAAGGTCACCTCCCCTGGTCCAGCTGCTTGTTTGCCTTCTCTCCCTCAGGAGGCTGCTGGTCTTCTGTCTGTGTGCTCTCCAGAACACTCCTGAGTCCCCTCAGCTGTGGCTCCTGTCAGCCACCCTGCTGTCCTAGTGCCCTTCCTGACACAGAAGGGCCCAGGGCTCAGCAGAGTTGCTCCTTGGGGTGTGCTTGGATCAGAAGCCAAGCATCACCAGGCAGGCTGTTGACTAGCCTTCAGGAGGAGGTCAGGCTTCGCTGCTCCTCTGAGGCCATGGCAGGTCCATGGCTTCCTGCTCCTTTGGGAGAGGAGACCAGACTTAGCGCTTCTTCACCCACCACGGGTGCTGGGTCAGCTTGGCTGGGCTGCTGGAGGCTCACCCTGAGCACAGCAGGGTTTGCAGAACTGTCAGAGCAAATGACTGATCTTTTGCAACCTCTATCCTGCCTGTCCCTGATGGAGGCAGACCCCAGTCCCCGGAAGAGCAGGGGTGCTGGCTCAGCTTTACCAGCCAAGAGGAAGATCCCAGGAGAGTCTCTCATTAACCCTGGCTTCAAAAGGTAAGAGCTGCTCCCAGGCCTGGTGCTGGAGGTCCAGTGGGCTCTGCTCTGTAGCTGTGTGGCAGCAGGTGTGGGGCGCTGGGCTGTGACGCTCCCTCCATCTCCTAGCAAGAAGGCACCATCTGGAGTGGACTTTGAGGACTTCTGAGCTGCACTGTCCTGTCCTCCAATGACAGCCCTACCAGAGCCTTGTCAGCTTCCTGCATGGCTGGTGGTGGAGGGGTCACTGCAGCCTGGGCCTGCTGAGCCCCTTGAGGGAGGTGGGTGAGGCAAGCAGAACCCAGAGCACTGGACCAGCACCTGGCAGACCTGAGTGGGCAGATCCCCAGCTGGGGTGGTGGCAGAGCTTTTGGGGGTGACAGATGGGGCAGGGGTGACTGAAATGGTCTCACAGCTCTTCCCTGCTGGCAGGGGCACCCTCTCTACCTCACTTGCCATGAATTGGTGGGGTTTTTAAAGGAACTATTATATTACTATATAACAAAAAGATTGCCTATGCTTAACTTCTTGCCAGTAAAGCTGGTTTGAGCTGTCTGGTCTCTGGCGACTGGGACGGTGCTGATATGTCACTCCGTTCTGCCTTTCCCTTGATCAGGAGCTGTGTGACCAGCTGCACCTGGAGGGTCAGAGACTCAAAGGAGTTCACTCTACTGCCAGCTTTGTGCCAGCAGGCTGGTGGGTGAGTGTTTAGAGCCTTCCCAGCCCCCTGAAGAGCTGGGATAATGGGCTCAGCCCTTGCTAGGCACTGGGAGAGCACTGGGAGGCCAGTGTGAAGTTCTGTGGGGCAGGAGAGCTGCTGGGGCTGGTCACTCCAGAGTCATGGTTGTCTCACTTGCAAAGCTTTTATTGATTTCCAAGAGCTACAATCCATGGCTTGGGCTTGTCCCACTGCACCCCACCCCTCTCCCAAATCTGCTCCTGAGACCTTTCTAACGGTGGGTTCTGAGGGGACAGTCCCCTCTGCTCCCTTCACCCAGGGCGATGGGGCTGGGCTGTGTCCACCACCTGTGGCAGCTGCCCCAGCTCTGTCCCAGGGCTCTGCCCTGGCTGTGCTGGTTCCCCTTACTTGGTGCAGCTCCTTGGGGACATCTGGCAGTGCCCACTGCCCTGGCATAGCCCTTCCTCAGGTCACTCACCTGCTGGGTGGCACACCACACCTCCCAGGGAGACTGCAGGGATGCCTGCCACACGTCACTGCCCTTTGCAGTGACATGTGCTTTGGACAGCCTTTCCCCTCCAGCCCTTGCCCTCAGCATTGCCCAGCTGTGGTACAGGCAGTGCCCAAGGCTGTGGCCCCTTGCAGCCATCCTGGTGCCTGAGGGACCACAGGGCAGGTTGAGGGTGCTGTGGACAGGCAGGGAGGGTGGCACAAGAGATTATGACATCTGTGGGCTCAGTGTGGTGCAGATTACTGCCAGCACCTCGGGCAGAGGTGCCAGCAGGGGGAATTTGGGTGCCAGGGGCACAGCTCATGCCCTCTGCCTCCCTGTGTGCAGGCAGAACTGGGGTGGTGGTGGTGGCAGGACTGGGATAGGTGCTGCCCAACCCTGGCCCTACGCCCACCAGGGCACATGCCCGGCTCACTGCAGTGACCGGACCACGGAGCCATAGGCTTGTATGATCTCCTCGCTGTTGGGGCAGGTGTATTTGAACTCCCTGGTGGCACTGGCACTGTTGAGGTAGCGCCACACGCCCTGCAGCTCTTTGGGAATCCCGAAGCGGCGGTAATGCTGGCACACGACCTGCGGGCAGGAACGGGGTGAGCCCTTGCCCAGCCCTGTGTGCCTGCAGTGTGCCAAGGAGGGCCCCACAGCTAGGGGCTGGTATTCAAGGGCAGGGAGGGTGGCTGGGCCAGGGGACATCCCTGGCACTGCACAGGATGAGGGGTGGCAGTTGGCAGGGGACACAGAGTGGAGTGAGACCTGTGGTAAGGCACCGTGCTGGGGAGGGGGCTGCCGGTGGGCAGGGGGATGATACAGGGGTTGGCAAAGGAACATGGGGTTTCATGGCAGGGGCTAACAGCACTGAGGATCCAGAGGGAAACAGGAAGGGTACAGGGCCAGGATGGTCAGGCTCACCTGGACGATGTTGAGCTTGGGCAGCAGGTTGCAGTCGGCTAAGGTGAGCTGGTCCCCGTCAAGGAAGCGGCGCCGGGAGGCCTGGAGGTGGGGGTCCTGGGCCAGCTCGTACTCCAGCGGGGCACACAGGTACTCGTCCAGCTTCAGCAGGGCCCGTAGCAGGCTCCGCTGCAGCGCTGTGGGCAGGGCAGCCATGCTGCTGGGTCAGGGCGTGAGCCCCATGGTTCTGCCAGCCCACCTCTCTGCCCACTCTCTTCCTAACTTGCCCAGGCTGGACCTGCCCCTGCCCTCCCAAAGGAGCCCTGGCACAGCCATGTTGAACTGTGTGGGGAGACCCAGCTGTGGCCTGGGGCTGAGGAGGGCTGGAAAGTCTTCAGGTGACCTGACCTGGTGTCAGGCTGGTGACACCTGAGAAGTTGCATGGCATGTCCCCCTTGCCCCTCCACAGCTCAAGGTTGCATGGGGTGACCCCTCATCCCACTGCTCACCCTCATCCTGGGCAGGCACCGGGTTCTTGATGAAGGTGGAAAACTTGTGGAAAATGTCATTCCCAGCCAGGCTTGACTCCCTGTACCGTGGGACCAAGCTGGGGAACCTGCAGGGACATGGGCACAGCTGAGGAAGGAGGCAGGGCCTGGCAGGGTCAGGTGTTGCCTTCCCACCCCACCTCTCAACCTGTCCTGCCCCTTTTTGGCTCCTTGCCCCCTCTCAGGGCAGTGCCCACTAACATGGGTGGGCTCAGCTTGTCCTCCAGGAAGTCCTCAATGGTGACAGTGTCGGTCTTGGGCTCGCCGTTGTAGAGCAAAACAGGCAGCTGGGCACCCGGAGCAAAGTCCTTCAGAACGTCCAGTGCCCTGCAGAAGATGGTGACAGACACTGATGCCTGGTCGTGCACAGGGCTCTGCAGGGCACCACACATGTTTGTGTGTGTGCATTTTTCAACGGCAGGTTGGACAGGGCTTTGAGCAGCTTGGTCTAAAAGAAGGTGTCCCTGCCATTGCAGGAGGGTTGGAACTAGATGATCTTCTAGGTCCCTGTGCTGTGTCCAGTTCTGGACCCTCCAGCATAAGAAGGACATGGAGCTCCTAAAGCAAGTCCAGAGAAGGGTCACAAAGATGATCAGAGGGTTGGAGCACCTTTCCTAAGAAGACGGGCTGAGAGAGCTGAGGCTGTTCAGCCTGGAGAAAAGAAGGCTCTGAGGAGGCGTTTTAGCACCTTCCACTACCTGAAGGGGCTACAGGAAGGACGGGGAGAGACTTTTTGCTATGGTGTGTAGTGATAGGATGACGGGTAATGGCTTTAAACTAGAAGAGGGGAGATTCAGGTTGGACATTAGAAGTTCTTCACTGTAAGGGTGGATCAACACTGGAACAGGTTGCCTAGAGAAGCTGTGGGTGCCCTATCCCTGGGAGTGTTCAGGACCAGGTTGGATGGGACTTGGAGCAACCTCGTGTAATGGGAGGCATCCCTGCCATTGCAGGAGGGTTGGAACTAGATGATCTTCTAGGTCCCTTCCAACCCAAACCATTCTGTGATTCTATGTGTGTGCTTGTAGGCACGTGTATCCTGGGCAAAGGGACAAGTTGGCGGCCTTCAGAGTGCTCCTGCCTCAGTATGTGACCATGGCAGTTCTGCCCTAGAAAATGCCCACTGACCTCCCTCAAGCTGAGGGGTACAACAGGCTCCAGCAACCCACAGAACCCACCCTCACATCTCTTCCCACCCCCCCCGAGGGGTGGCCCTGTCTCCTCTTAGGGCAGGGAGCACGACTCACCTCTTCATATCCACGGTGGTGAGGGTGAAGGGCACCCCTTTGAGCAGCAGCACCATAAAGAGCCGCTGGCAGAAGGGGCAGTGCCCCACGCTCTCCCCATCCTCGCTTGCCTGCAGGCAGAGAGGGAGAGCTCAGCTGCCCCTTTGCCCTGGCATGGGTGCAGCAGCCCCGGTGGGTGCAGGGTGAGGCTGCCAGGGCACATGCCACCCACCCCCTCCCCTAGCCAAGCCCAGGCTGACCACAGGCTAGCAAGCAGTGCTAGCACCTGTGGTACCAGCTAGACTGGGCAGGGGGCCAGTCCCCAGCCCTTGCCTGCTCCTGGGGCCTCTCTGCCCCACCCTGGGGCAGCTCATGTGGCAGAGCAGGTGCTGGCCCTAGGCCCCCATGGGGAAGGGGGGTTCCTGAGCTGCCCCAGCCTTGTAGTGCCAAGGAGACCAGGGCTTGCGGGCAGAGTGGTGGCACCAGTGGCAGTGGCTGCAGGTGACAGCCCAGTGTGGCAGAGGCTGTGCAGAGGAAAGTGGTGGTGATATTGGTGGCCCCATTGCCACCAGGTGCCATCCCAAGTGGGCCCTGCCTGTCCTGCCCTGCACAACCAGACCAACTGCCCTAGCCAGGTGGTTGCTGGGCAGAAGGTGGCAGGTGCTGTAGTGGTCAGGCTGCTGGGCAGGGGCTGTGGTGGGGGCACCCCAGTCCAACCCCCCCCTATGGTGAGGACCTCCAGCCCCCCCACGCCCACAGGGCAGGCAGCAGCACGACAGGCCCTGAGCTGCCCTGAGCTACCCAGTGCCTGCCCAGTGCCCACATCTCGGTTCTACAACAGGC